GCTCCACTCGAGGTCATGTTCATAGATTCCAAAGCATTGTTAATAGCAAAGGGGGGAAAAGGTACCCTCGACCCTCACGCCTGCAACCCTCGCGCGGCAGCACACCACTGCTCCGCACGAGACACCGTTGCAGGACCAACCCCCATCGCCATCCATCGTAGAACATGATCTCGAGCCCTGCCCCAGCCCCTCAGCCACTACACCATCATAGGGGGTCGGGACCCCCCCCCTAGCATGTGGTGAAGCCTCTGGGGGGGTGGGACCCCCCCCCCCCCCTAGCATGTGGTGGGCACCCCCCAGCAGTTCGTGGGCTAGGAATAGCCGCCAGAGAGCCGATTTTGCCCCCAAAGTTGTGAAATCGTGGCTGAAAGTCCAATATCTTGGAGAATCTGGCCAGTCTCAAGGCTCATGTAGCTCCAAAGGATGATTTTCCCCTCGAAAATGCTGCGAAATGAGGCGTAAAATCAAGGGCCCGGAGGGTCTGACCACGAGTCTCTGGGGGGGTCCTCGGCCATGACCCCCCCCCCAGCATGTGGTGAAGGCGCTGGGGGGGTCGGGACCCCCCCCCTAGCATGTGGTGAAGCCTCTGGAGGGGGTCGGACCCCCCCCCTAGCATGTGGTGTGAGTAGAAGTGCGCCCCCCTCCCTGGAAGCGATGTCCGCCTGCTCCGACGGTACGGCCGACGGCGATGGCACTGGCGGCAGAGGCGCTGGCCGATCGCTCGGCTACGGCGGAGGCTGCGGCAGGGCGCGTCCGGTCGTAGTCGAGGGCGGCGCAGGCGTCTCGCGCGCCGGCCAGGAGAGCGCCGGCCGTGCGAGCCGAGTCATCGCACTTGACAGAGGCGATGCCTTGCTCGACGGTAGCGACGGCGACGAGGTCCAAGTGTCGCGCAGGAGATTGTGGAGAATGACCTCCAGACTGACCCGGAGAATCACCTCCACCTGTCCCACCTCAGCACCCCTATTATCACTCTCCCCCCCCCCCCCCCCACATACCTACATCCCTATAAGTAGGGTGCCCACAGGACCCAAAAAAAGAAAAGAAAAGTAATATATCTTTACTTCCAACACCCGGACGTGCCTCCACCGGCACGCCGCTTCCGACAGGGTGATGGAAGGTTCGACGCACCCCCGGACTGGGCGGAGAGATCCCAGGGCACGCTCCTGGGCTGTCCGCCCCGCCCCCACTTGCCCTGACTGCACAGGATAGCGTGCCCCGACAAACGGCGACACATAGCGGGGGACACTGCGCCGGGGGGTATGCCTAACTTTGGTGCTTTGTGTGGGTCGCGTTCCCTTGGTAGCTGTGTGGTTGAAGCCCTCGTGCCGCTGGCTTGCCCCTTCCAGCGGCTGGCCCCTCGAGACTGTCGGTGCTTTTGGCGGGAGGAGGGGGAGAGGGAGGCCCGGTGGGAGGAGAGGGAGAGGGAGGCCCGGTGGGAGGGGAGGGAGAGGGAGGCCGCCTTGGGCTCTTCTCCTCCCCCCTCCCTGGGCTCTTCTCCTCTCCCCACCCTGGGCTCTTCTCCCCTCCTCCCTGGTACTCTCGGCCTAATTACCGGAGCGACTGCCGGAGCAGACGCTGGGGGGACACTCGCGCCCGGAGGCGGTACGCACGACCCGGAGGCGTGGGGATGGGGGGGGGCCGCGCCGCCGCCGCCGTGCCGCCTTCTCCCGCTTTGACCTCCCCCAGCTGCTTCTCCTCAAATCAACCTGTGAGCTTGCGAGGCGGCGGGGGTGGGAGTGCTCTCGGGCGGCGTGTGCGAGCGCGCGCGGCGCGAGATCTCTGTCGCGAGGGCACGGTGGGTCGGGTGAGTATCTCGCGCGCTCGCACTATTTCACGTTATATCAGGCACTGCCTTTGATGCCTTTGCAAGAACCGCCAGCGGCGGTGGTCGAACCGGTTCGCGGTTCGAGCCGGGACCTTTTGGCTCCCGGTTCGGAACTCGCTTGGAGGGTTGCTTCGCTCTCGCGGAGCGAGCGCGGGCGCGTGGGTGCGTGTGCGCGTGCGCTGCTGCAAGGCGAGGCGAGGCGAGGCGCGGGGCGGCGCGGTGCGGCGAGGCGGGCGGCGGCGGCGCGCGGTCGTTCCTTTTGCCCGGGTGAGGCGTGGCTTGCGCGCCGCGCGGTGATGACGCAGCACGCTGAAAAGTCCTTGGTGAGCCACCGCGGTGGCAGCGAGCCAAAGCAAGCCACCTGCCGCATGACGGGTTGACAGACGGCGTCTCTTTTCTAAAAAAAAAAAGAAATGGGCCACCCCCGATCGCAGCACTTCGTGTTGGAGAGTCGAGATATTGAGAGTGTGACTAGGAGGGAGGGACGCTGGGGATTCTCAAAGGTATACCCTTGGAATGGCCGGAGCCTTAAAAGTACGAGATCGCGCGCGCTTCACGCACAGCACCGCCTGTTCTCCGCGGCTGAGTGACGACGCGTGCCGTGTACCATCAGAGTTGGGCGCGCGCGGCGCGACGGCGCCCGCGAGGGAAGGCGCGGGTGCAGCGGCCGCCGGCGGTCGTACCGCTCGCCGGCCAGCGCAGCAGCGGCCAGCGCAGCGGCCGCCGGCGCAGCAGCCAGAGCAGCCGGTGCGCGCCTTGCGAGGCGAGTACTGCCGTCCGGCAGCCTTGAGGCGGCCGGGCGGCAGTACTCGTTCGAATTTTGCGAGCCGTGCGCGCGCCGAGGCGCCCGCGGCGCGCGCCCGCCCGGCTGCCAGTAGGAGGCGGCGCAATATGGCCTATAGTACAGCCCTTGAGGAGGAGGAAGAGGCTGGCTGGCAGTGCTGTATGCCGCCGGGGGCAGTTTTTGGGTGCTGTCCCCATCCCAGGGGGCTGCAGAAGGCGTCCGCAGCCGGGACAACCCGCCCCCCCAGCCGAGGCCGGTCGAAGCCCACTTGACCACAGCCATGAGGAGTCCTCTTGGTGCTCCTGGCGGCCGTTTGAACCTCGGGCGCGCGCCGATGGGGGGGGGGGGGGGGGTCTTGCTTGCTCCACACCGAGCGCCATCGGTCCGGACCGGTGCACTCACCGAGGGTCGGCTTGCACAAGGTCTGTGCCGCGGGCGCTCGGCGCCAAGTGCAGTGTCACGCTCGCGCTGGAGCGGGACACAATGGGGAACCCTCGTTTCCTAGTCACTCGGTCCCCCAACGGAAGAGGCCTCGCTCCTATTGGAACACTCCAACATCAGATTTGGCTCGTGCGTCCCTTTTTGAGGCGGAAAGCTATTTTCTTTTGGGTCCTGTGGGCACCCTAAGCTATATTCCCACACCCTGTGCAGTGGCACGTCTTATCACCAAGCCCCCTAATTAATATTAGTACCTTGGGCGCCGAATAGGCGCCCAAATATTGGCACGTAATAGTTCCCTGACTCTCGAGGCGTCGTCATGTGAGTTGTGACACTTTGTGAGCAGTCACCCCGCTGAGGCTGAGCCCCCCAGCATTCCCGGTGTTGTACGACACCATTCCCTTATAAACCACTCGGATACGAGTTCCTTATACCAATCCTACAGTCGTCTGAGACGGCACCCGGATCGAGGATGGCTTTGCAGCCTCACCCGCGATCAACAGTACAGCAGAGCCGCGCACGCGGCTCACCTCTAGCACCACTTGCTGGACACCAACCTTTGGGTCCAGATGACGATCCCTCTGCAAACGAGGGGAGAGGGACGCCTCACGAGACTACGGAGGACCTCGGCCAAAACGAACGGTCAGACCACTCCAATCCCTACCACACCACGTTGGGGCTAGGCAGCCGCGTAAGCGAGCCCAAGGGCGGCATCGATGTACTCAAGGGGCCATCGTCGCCTGACTCCGTTGGGAAGAGGGCTACGTCAGCTGGAACGCCTTCTGCCGGGCTGCCGGCGAGCTCTCCTCCGACGGAAGTCTGCTCGAACGGGATGTGTGATTGTGTGTGTGTGTGTGTGTGGCGCGTGCGTGTGCCCCCTCGCTCGCTCGCGGCTAGCCGCGGGTTGCACCGTTGTCGTATGGCACGTAGTAGGCGTGTGCGTCGGTGGCAAAATGGGTCCCATGAGGTTGAAGTTGGTGTCGGCGAGGTCGAGGTACTCGACGCCCAGGGAGGTGAAATCGGAGAGCGAGACGCCGAGGAGCGCCGCCTTGTTCTGGATGTGGGGCACGTGCTTGCCCTCGTTCGCCGCGAGCGCGACGTGGAGGACGCGCTGCGCGCCGCTATCGGTGCCGGCGGCCATCTTGATGGCGTCCACCATGCTGGTTCGGATGGCGTTGGCGTCGATGTCAGCGCTCCCCCCCACGCACGAGCTGCTCTCCCGCCGTTTTAGGGCCTCCCCACCCGCTATGTTGGAGGCTAGGACGCAAAGCGCCGTCGCCCTTTTCAAACTCGGGGCCCACTCCGCTACGCTCCGACCCGAATAATTTGGAGGGCCTGAAAGTTTAAGGTGTTGCTGCGCAAAAGGGTGGGGGAGCCGCGGCGGCGCCGCAGGCGTGTGCCCGGAAAGCCTCAAGCCGGCGCGCACCGGTGGCAGCGCAGGATGAGGCGGCAGCTGTGGAGGGTTGGGGCGCATTTGAAGGCGCTGGCCCCGATCTGAGGGAGGGTGTAGAGGATGTAGAGTGTAGAGCGCTGTAGAGCTGTAGAGATGTAGAGCGCTCTGGAGCGCTGTAGAGCTGTAGAGCTCTACATCGGGCACGGGACGAACTGCGTGCGTTGTAGAGCGATGTAGAGCGCGATTTTGTTGTAGAGTTTGTTGTAGAGGCTCTACAGCCAACCCGCCGGGAAGGCAGTGACTCAAAGAGGTCGAGTCGCACTAATGGGGTGTCTCCGAGCTTACTGGAGCTCTGATGGACGGCCCTGACTATCCCTGACACACAGAGAGTCACTCTGATGGCACAACAACACCCCATAACTGCGTCATCACCAGCCTGCCATGCGTCGCCGGTGCCGCATTCGTCGCTGTGCTTCTTTAGCAGGCGGTGGACTGTCGGCGGCGAGGACGGCTCGCATTTGCGCAAGGCGAGGCGAGCATTCAGACGCGTTGCATGCGCCATGACTCGCGCCAGCGCGTGCGGGAGCTCCTGGCTGAGCGTTGAGTCCAGGCGAGTTGCGCTGGCCACGATCGCTACGCCGAGCCGAGCTGACGCGCCGAGGCGCCGGCCAGTCGCAGCCGTGAGGCATGCCACAGCAGCAGAGGCACCTCCCACCCATTGGGCGGGCAGACAGAAGGCCAGGGCAGCACTGGCGAGTGCAACGCGCCTCATGTCGGAGAGCGACCGTGCCTCGTTCGCCGCTTTTGATGTAGAGTTTGTTGTAGAGATTTCACGTTGTAGAGCGCCTCTACATCGCTCTACAACGCACGCAGTTCGTCCCGCGGCGGATGTAGAGCTCTACAGCTCTACAGCGCTCTACAGCGCTCCAGAGCGCTCTACATCTCTACAGCTCTACAGCGCTCTACACTCTACATCCTCTACACCCTCCCTCAGGAGGGGCCCCCGGCCGGAGGGATGCACAACCGCTCCACGCCACACCGCTTGCGGCGGTCCTCTTCCCAGCTCCGCTGAGGGCCCGTGCCTTCCCAACAAAGGAAGACTTTTTCACACCGGGGGGGCGTGCGTAAATTCGCTTAGCATGCCCGAAGCCTCCTGGCGAGGGCTTGTGCTGTGAATAGCAGGCGTGGTCTGTACTCGCCAGCTGTCCCGCGTCCACCCATGATGAGCTGTGAGCTGTGAAGTCGGTCTGTGAGGCCCCTTCCGAAGGTGCGCCCCCAGAGGCTCGCCCCAAAGGGGCAGGGAGCAGAACCCAGCCGCTCTGAGCCACGCCTTCACCATCCTCGCCGCGCTCGGCTCGCAGGCTCGCCGTCTTCGCAGCCTCCTTCGCCGCTGCTGGCTCGGCGCGCGCCTGCTCCTCGCCGCGTTGCGGCTGCCCGAGGCGGCGTGCGAGGCTGCCGTGACGCTCGGCACGGAGCGGCTGGACGACTCGCTGCAGCGCACGCTGGGCCGCGCTGCAGAGGAGGAGGAGGACGCACCCAAGTCGGAGGAGCTCGTGCTCGCCATCGACGTTGGCGCCACGCGCACCAAGCTGCTGCTGTGCGCCATGACAGTCGGCGGCCGCGGCCCGGGGCGGTTGCGCCGGCTGCCGCCTGTGCCGACGGCAAGGCTGTGGCAGAACCCGGCGCTGGAGAGCGAGGACAAGTTCGACCCCGAGGGCGCGCCAGCGCGCGTGCGAGACTACCTGCTGACGTGCGGCGTCGTCAGCTCGCGGCTCGGCCGGCTCGTCTTTGCGGTGCCGGGCACCGTCGACCTGGCCACAGAGGACCGCTCCGACTACACGGTGGTCAAGAACACGCCGTCGATGTCGCCGCGCTTCCGCGGCTTCGACTTCAAGCTCGCCTTCCGCGAGGTCTGCCCCCGCGCCAAGGTGTCCGCCGTGCCCGACGGGCTCGCCGCAGCGCTCGGCGTCGCCTGCGAGAACCGGCAGCTGCGCAGCGCTCTCGTGCTCATCCTGGGGACGGCTCCGGCGGTGGCGACGCTGTTCCGCGACCCGTCGGGCAAGGGGCGCTTCGTCGAGGTTGCCATCTGGCAGTCGTGGGTCTGGTTCACCAAGATCCGCCTCGACGATCCGCACGGCTACTGCGGCGGGCCGCAGAGGAAGAGGACGGGCGGGCGGCGCTCCGGGCCGTGTCCTCGACACGCTCCACGACGTGTCGCGTAGGCGGGCTGCGGGTCACCAAGGAGGGGCTGCGCGTCAAGCCGAAGGACTCGCACAAGATACCCCACCACCAGGCGCGCATCCGCTTCGCGCTCGACGTGCTCACCTGGGAGAGGCTCCACGGCGCGTGCGCGGAGCTGCCGCCGCACACGCAGCCCTCCCTGTCGGCGGAGGCGCGCGGCGGCGAGGGAGGGGAGAGGCGCCCCCCGAGGGTTGAGCTCCTGCCCCCACCAAATAGGCGGCCGCGAAGGTGTGGGCGGCGCGGCTGCAGCGTGCCGTCGACGCGCTCGCGGCGCAGATCGCGCCTCCGCGCGGCGCGCACTGCAGGGGCGGCGAAGATGACACGACCGACGTGCCGCATAGGAGCGCTTCCACTCCGTGTACGGGCCGCCGGAGGAGGTGCACGTGCTGGGCGGCAACGCGACGGCGGCGCGGGGCCTCGTCACGGCGGCCAAGTACGTCGTGCCTGAGAGCCGCAACCCGAACCCGCGCAGCCGGCTTCGCGGCGCCGGGATGGGAGGCACCTCGGCGGAGAGCGAGGAGGAGCTGTGGCAGCGCGTGCCCGTGCGGGTGGCGCAGGATGACGCGACGCAGCAGCAGGTGGCCCTTCGGGGACTCCTCTATTCGTCGCATTTCAAGCTCAAGCAGGCGGCCGCAAGGGCAGCCCCCCCTGCGTCCCGCCACTGGCCGCCCGACCATCTGCCCACCGCGCCCTGCAGGTGTCGGCGCCGGGGCAGGATCCGCTGGCGAGGGGGTGGACCCGTGGCGGCGAGATCTACATGTACGTGCCCAAGGACGGCCGCTCGGAGAAGGAGGTCTCGGCCGATTTTGTGGCGGACATGGCCAGCCCCGTCGAGCCGCAGCAGCCTCGTTGCGCGATCGCCGCAGCGCGTCGCCGTACCGCTGGATCGAGCGGCGACGGCAGCGCCTCCACGTGAAAAGCCACCAGGCTCGCCCTCTGCTCACGCGCCGCAAGGAGCAACCGACTGTCGTGGCGCGTGGTAGAGACCGTCTGAGAGAGCAGACCGGAGCGGGATGTTTCGTACGTCAACCCCTATGTCTTGTTGTTGTTAGCTACCTCTGAAGTGAAATAGCATTGCGTTTATAGAGGGAGCGTGAGAAGAGGAAATCGAGGGACGCGACCCACCTCGCCACAGACGGTCCCGTGCCTCGCCACTAAGACGGCCACACGACCGCAGCTCGTGTGCGTGTGGCCGTCTTTGTCCGGAGTGAATACCACTACGCGCTTTCGGTGACGGTGTCCCCCGATTTCGCCGCGCTCGGCGAACCTCGACAGCGCTTTCGGTGGCATGCAGCTCTTTGCGACAGAAGCCTGGAGAGCAGCTCCTCTGCTGCTCACACACTCTGCACAGTTGACACAGCCTACTGTGCGGCTGCCACAGCTGTCACAGCGATGGGCTCGCCCTCACTGGCCCTCAGTCACTTGTGCTGCGGCTTGTGTGAGCGACACTGCTCGGCGACTGCCGGCACACTGTGAGACCGTGGGTGTGAGGTAAAAGCACGCTACCGGCGCTTGGTCACATCGGCCCCGAGGTCAGATCCTTCTACTCTGTTGATGACAACACTTGTCTACTCGCTGGAGCCGAGCAGGAGGGCCCGGCGCACAACCCCTGGTCAACTCAGGGTCCACACCCGTAATGGGAATAGAAACCGACCGACCCCTGGGTTTTCGGCTACGGGAAACCGCCATGGGAAACCGCAGCAGAAACCCGATGGGAAACCGAGGTTGTCTGCTTTGTGCACGAATGTTGTGACGAGGGGGTTGAGCTTGAGGTCCGCTGGATGACGAGTGACGACGGGTTTTAAGCCTCCCCCGCTCACACGCACACCGCAAGATCGGGCGGGGGGGACACGTACACGCATGACATGCACATGCATGTGACCACATGGTCGGATGTATGGGAGTGCGTCCCCGCCGGACACTAAACTGAAAAGCCGCGTTCCATCTCGTCCCTGTACTGATGCACTGTTCTACTATTATCCCCCGCTCCCCCGCTAGACTGGTGAACAGAAGCTCACACAGGTAGCTTTGCAAATCGTTCCCTCTCCCCTCTCGCTCGCCTGGCCCCGCTCGCGCATTCTCACCGCTCCCAGCTCCCACGCCGCGTCAGAGGCGACTCAGGTCAACCCGGCTTTCTACAAGCAGTGGGTGGCAAGGAGGGAGACAGGGCGACCTACATTGCCTGCGCCGCGTTCGAGTACCGCGAACGTGCAGGCTCTATTGTGCCAGCTCTCCAGCGGGAGAGGCGCTCTCAGATGACAGAGACAGCGTGGTAAACGGAGTCCATGTGCTCCTCGGTGACCGCCGTCGGCGCGACGAAATCCCACGTGTCGATGACGCGCAGCGATCCCGTGTCGGGGTCGAGCTCTGGCTGGTCGTCGACCGCCTTGATGTCCTGCGCGGTGCGCTGCGCTGCAAGCTCCTTGTCCTTCTTGCGCTTCGGGACGCCCTTCACGCCCTTCATGGGGGAGAGGAGCTTGCACGCGGAGACAATGTCCCAGTCGATGCCCTCAAAGTACGGATGCCCTTTGACGTCAGCGAGCCCGTCCTCGCTTGAGCCCAGCCGCTTGTCCTCGTCCTGCACGAGGAGAGCCTCGCAAAAGTCCTTGCACGCTGGCGAGGGAAACTTGCCACCACGATACACAGGCGCGGGCGAGTCGAGCGCCGAGAAGGGGAGATCCCCCTGCGTGAACTCGTACGTCAGCACGCCGATCGTGTACCAGTCGGCCGACTTGCCATACGGCTTCCTCCGCCGCGCCGCCCAGCGCACCTCGGGCGCCATGTAGCAGTCGGTGCCGACACGCGAGCGCCGCTTCGGCGCCGCCTCTGTCACTCTCGCGGCTAGGCCCATGTCGATGAGCCGCACGTGGCCCTGTCCGTGGGAGGTGGAGGTGTTCGCAGGTGTGTCTGGCAAGGGGGATCTGGGAGAGTCTCGCCTGCTCGTCCACCAGCAGATTCTCGGGCTTGAGGTCGCGGTAGAGAATGGACTGACCGTGGATGTAGCCCATCACCTCGACCGTCTCCATTATGGCCCACTTGACCTGCGGCGGTGTCAGCCGGCGCTTGGTGAGCACAAACTCGGAGAGGTCGCCCTGCGGCACGAGGTCCATCACGAGGAGCAGGAACTCCGGGTTCTGGAACGCGTACTTGAGGTTGACCAGGAACGGGTGCTGCAGCGTCGCGAGGATGGACTGCTCGAGCGCGATCTTCTTGCGCCACGAGGAGCCGAGGCACTCCTTCAGCATCTCCTTCCGCATCACCTTGAGCGCGTAGTGCACACCGCAGTCGCGCTTGATCACTTCAATTACCTGCCCGAAGCCACCCTCGCCGAGCACGCGCACAACCTTGAAGTCCTCGAGCGCGGGCACGATCTTCTCCTTCGCTTTGAGCTCGAGGATGTACCGATAGTGCTTTGATCCCATGAAGGCGTCGTAGCAGCCCGCGTTTAGCGCAGCGAGCGCCTCTGTTTGCGCCCCGGCGAAGATTTGGCGGGCCTTGCGTGTGGAAAGGCCGCCGCTCTTGAGCGAGCTGATCGCGCTGTCCACCTCGGCGCAAGTCTCCTTGCAGATGAACTCGGCGCCTGGGATGACCAGCGACGTTTTGGGGCCCTCAACGAGGTACTTTGCCTGCAAATTCGGCGCCTCCTCGGTGAGCGCCGCCTTGTCAGGCAGCTCAGCGTACTCGTCCTGCACGTCGACGTAAAACTCGAAGAGCGTGAGCAGCCCGAGGGCGCGAGCTTGTTCGTCCTGCGGCGGTGGGCGGCTGCTTAGCAAGCTCGGCCGGCGTGCGGCCTGGCGGTCAAGACCCCTCACCTTGGTGCTAGCGGTCTCCTCAGCCTTGAGTAAGTAGGTGCGCAGCTTGCCGCAGAAGGCTGGGATGTGGACCACCTCCTCGATTGGGATGGCGAGCGAGGCTGCAATCGTCACCTGAGGCGTCTGCGAATCGGCGAATGCCTGCGTCAACTTGTACAGCCGCTCGCCCTGATATGTGGCCAGGAAGCAGAAGAAACGAGCGGGCAGCCGGGGATGCTCCTTGAAGAGCGCATCCAACGCGCTCACCTTCATCTCCACGACCGTGGTAATCTGGTCAGCAGCTACCGAGGCCGTGGCGAGGCCCTCCTTCAGCATCGAGGTCTCGCCAAGCATCTCGCCCGCGCCGCGGTAGCCGACGACGACCGCCTGGGCCTATTCCGGCAGTTCGACCGGAGGGGTGGTAGGCTTGCACGGGTGATGGGGCCGATGGTGGCGGGGCGGCAAGGGCACGTGGGAATGCGGAAGGGGTTGCGGTGCGGTGTGCGAGCGGCAGGCGCCTGCTCGTTGAGCTTGAGCTCGACGCGCAGCGCGCCGCTCACTATCTGGTAGAGAGCCGCCGACGGCTCGCCCTCTTGCACAACGTACTGGCCCTTGGCGTACGTGCGAGTCGCCGCTGCAGACAGGAAGAGGCCCCAATCGTCCTCGTGCATGTCTAGCTCCTCCAGCACGCTCTTGTTCTCGCCCGCGTCCGAGTGGCTGTGAATCATCGGCTCGATCACGGAGTTGAACTGCTCTAGGGAGACGTGCCCTTCGTCGTCCGCCGTCGTTTGCTCGCCGAGAGCGGAGCTGGACTTGCCGAGCTGCTTGGTCTTTGCCTTGAGCCGGCACGCCTGCGTCACGGCGAGGGGCGGTGGAGCCCAGGGGGCGGCCTCTACTCCCCCCGGCGCAGGCGCGCACCTCGATTAGGAGGCACGCCTCTTCGAAGTCGTCGTTGATGTGCAGCTCGATCGACTGGCCCTTAGACTGGACCTCGACGGTGTTACTCTCGCCGCCGGTGTTCGGATCGGAGCGCAGCAGCCCAATGACATCGGCATTGTCGATGACGAGCTTCTTCTTGAAAGCGAACATTTGCAAGTCGAAGCAGAGGCTCGACTCGAATATGTAGACGATGCCGAAGTGCGCGTTTTGGTCCTTGACCTGTGCGTTGACCTCGCGCTTGACCGAGCAGCGGTAAACCCCCATCAGCTTGTCTTCGGGCGAGAGCCCGAACTTGGTCCGCACGCGCTTCGTGTCCACTGCAGGGAGGGCGGCCCCTTTGCCCGGCTTGAGACCCTTGGTGACGACGG